AAAAGCTCTTATAACGAAAAGCTCTTTTTTTTATAATGAAGAAAAAAGCTGAAAATTAAAAGCTCCTAGGAGGAGCTTTTTTTTAAGCTCTTATCTGTTTTTCTTGAATTGTGTGCTTTTTTTTAAATGAAGAGTGATAAAGATAGAGAGAAAGATAATTTTCTTGAAATATGTGCTTTTAAGTAATTTTTAAGCTAAAACTTTTATGTAATTTCCAAACAGCTTTTAGCTTATTTTTTAAGCTCTTTTTTTTAGCTTTAGCTTATAAGTAGCTTCTAGCTTAAAAATAAGAGGGTCCAAACAGGCTCTAAGTCACAAGATACTCTACTATCTCTGCTCTCCTATATTTGTTCATATTTGGTGGGGGTGGGGTAGAGAGTGTGCTCTTTTACTTCCTTTTCATTTCTTTTGAGGCATCTTTGTTGGTACAAGTATATTTATGTTAATGGCAATTTAATAGTTTCTCTATTCATTTCTTGTAGCAATTTCTTTTTTTTTTGTTTTGCTGCTACTGTGCTTATTTTCTCTTTTGAATTATTGTATTATCGTATTGTACATAGATGTTGATAGAAATGAGGGAGAAACAAAATCAGAAGAGTACTTATGGCAAAGTTTTGACTTTCCTTATGATACATCATTGCTAGAGATGAAGTTAGGAAGGAACCTCCAACTTGGTCTTGATTGGAGATTAACCTCTTGGAAGAGTCCAATGAATCAATGATCCATCCCAAGTAGATTTTTCTTGGAGTATAGTGCTAAATAGTTATCCCGAGTTTTATATGTTAAAGGGAACATAAAAGCCTTTATGGAGTCTATTGTAATCGATTAAGTATATCATTTAATCGATTAAATATGATTTAATTGATTACATATCTTGTTTAATTGATTAAGAGGGGGCAGACTGGTGTATAGATTTGGGGCGAAGGCAAAATTGTTATTTTTTATTTAATTAAGGACAAAAGGGTCAAAAAGCCAGCAATTGCTAGCATATGATCAAGTCTTTCAAAATTAAAGCACATTTAAAAGATAATAAGAAACCCCTTTAACTAACCAACTCTCATAATATTTATTTTATTTTTATCATTTTTTTGTCTTATTATCTAATTTTCTTATTTTTTGGGTACTTATTTTACTCCAGGATCTTTAATCCCTTGAGTCAGTATCAAGAGCAAACCCAAGCCGAACCCAAGCCGAACCAAGGGCTCTGATATCATTTTGTAACACCCCCAAATTTTTAACAATATTAAAATATTCTTATAATAATATAATTGTCAAAATTCACATTTCATTATTTACCAGGATCTTATAAATACTGCAAAAGCTAATATAAAATTAATTTGTGGAAATATCACCGTCGCACCTGTAACAGGGGCAAGTGCAGGGCTAACTTAAAACTTCGAATGTAAAAAGATGTCTTATACATTAAATCCCAAGCATAATAAAGAATATCTGAGACGCCGACCTCGCTGCTCAATTCAAGCCCCCAACCTTTGCAACTTACTTTACTGAGGGTCTCTGCTCCTCCGAAGGATCATTGCAGCACATAAACACAACAACAAATAGTCAGCAAAAGCTGCTAATCCTAATCCAAAATACAATAAAGATAATCATAACTCAAATACTCATCATAATAAAAGAAACATTTATTTTCCATAATTAATCTTAATTAGTTCCTTTTAGCTCACTTAGTGGGAAGAGAACGATTGTAAACCGTGGAGTCCCCGTTGCCAGTCTATCCACATGACCCGAGAGACCCTATTGCCAGCCTCGTATAATCAAATTTGGCCATCATTAAATCATCTAATCCTAATGTGCACACCAGGTACCACTTTGGGAAAAATGAATAACATCTTTTTCACATCATATAAATTTGAAGGCATAAAGCCAAAGATTGTATTCATCACTTTTAGGAAGTAAAAAAAATTGGAAATAAGAAGAAAGAGGAGAAGGGAAATAGAGAGGTGCTGAGGATTGGAAGTGATTTGATTTGATTAGATAAAGGTCCTATTTATAGCTGAATTTTTCCTTCCCAAGATGGGCTCATGATATGGGCTTTGTTATAAATAATTGAATTTTTTTCCTTATAGAATTTGTTTTCCTTTTTCCTTATAGAATTTGTTTCCTTATGAAATTTGTTTTCCTTTTTCCTTATAGAATTTGTTTCCTTGTAGAATTATTTTCCTTTTTCCTTATATAATTTGTTTCCTTTTCTTTATGCAATTATTTGTTTCTTTTTTTTTGGATTTTTTTCTTTTTAGTTTTCTTATGGGCTCATGATATTGTATCCTGATTGTACTTTACACAATTCAATATACAATTCTTCTTTTTGTATTTATTAGATAGGATATTGCTGACCATGGCTGACTCATAGGATATTGCTGACTCATAGGATATTGCTAACTCAATATTATGATGTATATTCTAATATTTTTTATTTTTTTATTACTATTAGTTTTTATTTTATTAATTTTATTATGATTATGATTATTATTATTAATTTGGGGTGTTACAAATATAATTTAATGAATTAAAGAAATAAAGGCGTATGTGGTTTAATTGCCTTAATAAAATATTTATTTATCAATCGATTATATAGAGAAGATTTTAAAGATATCTTACATGGATAAAGCACATCCATTGAATACCCCCAATGTTTGTGAGCTCGATTGACATAAATAAAATATTCATTTAAACCCCAATGAAAAATTTCTTTGTGCCATATGTTAGTTCAATCGAGGCAGTCTTATTAGCATATAATAAAGGATGAACATCCAAGGGGGCGTTATAAAATTATTAAAGTGGATGTTTGACTTTTAAACCTTATATCTTCTCCCTCTTATTCTTTCATTTTATCTTTATTATTTGTAAGTCTATTAGCAGGGTTTAATTCTTCTCCAATATGAAGATACTAGAATAATGCGGAATATTTACCTAAACCACACAAAGGCAGATCTTAAATAAGATTTCGGTCACAAGTGGAAGCACAACTATTTCTTGGCGTTCAACAAATTTGTTTAAGAGATAATTTGACAGACATCACTGAATTCAAGTTTTGAGAAGCTGATATATAAGACTGAGATTCGTAGACTCAGAGACATTAAATGATGTTATCATCAGAGGGAGTAAAACATATGTTTCACTCTTTTTTTCTTCGCCAAGGTTTTGTCCCATTGGATTTTTGTAATAAGGTTTTTAGTGAGGCAGCTTGCGATACATATTATTAGAAATGTATACTCTTTAAGCCACTAAGATTGGTCTAGTGGTGAGAGGTTTGAGTAGGTTGTATTAGATTATGTGTTCAATTCTCACTTGTATCCAAAAAAAGAGAATTGTATACTCTTTTTATAATATCTTATAAGGCCCTATATTTTCTCCTGCGGCAGAAGACATCAGTTCTTCTTGCACACCCATGGAGAACCGTGTCAACAGTTTTTTTTTTTATTTTATTAAATAATGGGACCCACTTCAAAAAAATGTATCTATTGCATGAGAGATCAATTTGCTTGTTGCTGAAGAATATGATTTCCCATCTTATAATTAGATCCTAATTACGATTATATGTTAATAATATGTAATTAGGAGGACTCAATGTTATCAACTATTCTATTGTAACTAGGGGTGGCAATTTGGGTTGACCCGCCCCGACCCGCCAAAAAATATGGGTTGTAAAAATGAACCCATCCCGTTTTATGGTGGGTTGGCGGGTTGGCGGGTCAACCCACCAACCCGCCAATTAAAAAAAAATTAATTAAAATTCAAAAATAAATTATATTTTATGAATTTTTTAATATTATTTTATTTTATTTCACATTTCTCTATATTTTTTTTAGTCTCAATCTTAAATGTATACTAATATTTGTCAAACATTCTTTAGGAATTTATAAATAGATAACATTTGTCATAAATAAAATTGTTATTCTTTATTTTTTCTAGAAAGTACTAAGATAAAAAAAAATTGAATATCACAAAAATTTAAGTACTAATGAAATACTACCTAATTGTAAAAAAATAGTAAAAAAATTTAAAACTCGGCGGGTCAACCCGCCCCGCGGCGGGTTGAACCCGTTTTGACCCACTTCTAGGTGGGGCGGGTTGAGGTGGGTTGGTGGGTTTAAAATCTCAACCCAACCCGCCCCGTTTTGGCGGGTTGACCCGCCGGGCTCAACCCATATTGCCACCCCTAATTGTAACTCATTATAGTAGATGGTGTATGAATAGAGACCATGTATAGGTCTTCTATACGGAATTTTTTTGTGTGCTCCAAGCCCCATGTGGTCCTTCCATTCAAGAGATGACACTTGGACAAAAAGTTGTTTTTTATTTCTTCTCTCTCCTCTCTCCTTATTAGTTGTATGATTTTGATTGATCTGGACCACTAGTAAATGGTGGTCCAAGACTACTGAAATTCTTCTCTTTGTATACAGACAACACAAGACAATGGAAAATTATCCTTCTTTTATTTTGTTCTAAATTTATCTCTCCTTTGTTCTTTTACCTTTACTATATTCTAGTTTTATAACAATAATAAAATTATTTTAATATTGGGTAATGTTTTTCTCCTTTCACATGACACGAAGAATTTTCCTACAGACACATAAAAGTGGGCCTATCAACTTTTTTAATTTTCTTTTGTTTAAAAATAGTGGACCCCACGATTGATTGTCTCTATGAACATGACCTAAGAATGTTTCCTACAACATGACATTTGTTTTTCCCTTTAATATTTATTTATTTTTGAAATAAGGAAACAATTAATACATCAGCAGGAATATTTGTTTTCACATCTATATATTTTGCCGGGGACAGAAGCCATGGGATATAACCACATAAGGGTGCTGCAAAGTTTCAACAAACAGAAGCAGAATTTGCAGCATTCTCTTATATCGAGAGATATTATAGCTACTATGGTTGAGCTTTTGGCCATCATATTAGCTTTCTTCACATGCATTACCTTTGCTTATATTCTCAAATGTCTTAACAAACAAGATTCCCCACACAAATTGCCCCATGGAAGCATGGGGTGGCCCTTGTTTGGAGAGACTCCTGGCTTTCTCAAGCCCCATAGATCAAACTCATTGGGAAGCTTCTTACAAGAACATTGTTCTAGGTAACTTACCAAGTTCATACCATTTTCTGTCTTCTCCTCTAATTCTTTTAAGTCTTTTTTTTCCTGCTTTTTGTCAATCATAATAGTCACATAATTATATCCTCAAAACAACATATACATGAGTTCTGTTCTGTAATCTATTGATAAATCTTAAAGGGTGGTTGTGGGGTTTATGTATATGGTCTAAATGACTAAGCAAAATATTCTTGTTATGCAGGTATGGCAAAGTTTTCAAGTCTCATTTGTTTGGTGCTCCCACCATAGTTTCATGCGACTTTGAGCTCAACATGTTTATTCTTCAGAATGAAGGGAAACTATTCCCTGTTGATTACCCCAAGGTAATGCATAACATCTTGGGGAAGTTCTCTGTGCTTCTTGTCACTGGCCATCTTCACAAGAAGCTAAGAAGCACCATTATAAGTTTTGTCAGTGCATCAAAGTCCGAATCCAACTTCCTTCACTGTGTAGAAATGCTTGCACTCTCAAGGATTAATTCATGGGATCTAAACTGTAAACAAGTTGTTTTCTATAAAGAAGCTAAAAGGGTATGGTATCATCAACTTATTTGTTAGTTTTGTTCTGCTTGTGTTTCATCTTTAATTATATAATCAGTGCCCTCTACTCTTATTGTATTTTAAGATAAATTGCAGAAGAATAAAGTCTTAATATAATGGTATTTTACATACTGAAACGTGTTTTTCTTCAATGTGAAACAGTTTTCCATCAATGTTATGCTGAAGCACCTATTGAACATTAATCCTGATGAGCCACTAGCCTACAAGATTTTAGAAAACTTTGAGAACTACATCAAGGGTTTTGTTTCATTACCATTAAATATTCCAGGGACTGCATATTCCAATGCTGTGCAGGTACTAATATGATCATATATATAGATTAACCATTTAATCCAAATGCCAAAATAAGTGTCTTAATTCTGATATGGGGTATCCTGAATTTTGGCTTATACCAGGCTAGAATAAGACTCTCGTCTATTATCAAAGATATTATAATGGAGAGGCGTAAAGGTAATGTGGGGTTTGTGGAAGGAAGGGACCTATTGAATGTGATTTTGTCAAAGCAGAACCTATGTGATGAAGAGATGGTGAGCATTGTACTGGACCTCTTGTTTGGGGGTTATGAGACAACTGCAAAACTTTTGTCCCTAATTGTCTATTTCCTTGGGGGAGCCTCTAATGCTTTAGAAAGGTTAAAGGTACCTAGCTTTTAACCTATTTGAAACAAGTAACATGTTCAAAATTGTTTGTCATTTTATTAAAGGGTTCATTTTTTCTGCCGTCATATTATTTTTATTTGCAGCAGACATAAAAATAGTGAGACCCATTTGTTTTTTGTTTTTTTTCAGAAAAAAACAAAAATCAAGATCTATCAACGTATCCTGATTTTTCTATATGTTGCTGCAAAAGTTTTTTTTTTTTTTTTCAGCAACAGCATAGCTATATTTTCCTTTATTAAATTAACTAATTGAAAGCATTATAGGAAGAGCACCAAGTGATAAGGAAAAGCAAAATGGAGAGGGAACTACTGAACTTGGAAGATTATAAGCAAATGGAGTTTACTCAGGATGTAAGAAACTAAGAAACAATTTCCTTTTCAAGGTTTTGTATTTTCTAACAAAATTCTTGATATTGATTAGGTGATAAATGAAGCTATGAGATGTGGGAATGTAGTCAAATTTCTGCACAGGAAAGCTTCTCAGGATGTCAAATTCAAAGGTATTTATAAATTTATATAACCTTTCGCATTGAATGGACTTTATACAAAAAAAAAAAACAACTTTTTATGTAATGCTTTTTAGAAAGTTTTTTTGAGTCGTAATTATTTTCCATTTAAATCAATATTTAAAAAGGATTTTTAAGTAAAACTTTAAAAGTAGAAAATCTTGGCTTACAAAAGAAACATCATTTAGCATTTATTTTTAATAATTTTTACTTTTTTAAAAATTGTATATTAATAAAGCTGACAAAATAGATTCAATCAGTCAAGTCAATCCACCTAACACCAGTCAATCCACCTAACACCACCTAACACGTCTAAATTTTGAAAATATTTATGGTACTCATTCAGTGCATCTGTCTAATAAAAATGAGGAATGACTGTTATGTTTGTATGAAAAGGAAAGAAAATTTTTTTTATTCAAGTGTCACTTATTGAATGACAGATGTATCTACTACAGATGAACTGAAAAATGATCTCCTAAATTTTGTTAGATTTGGTTATATTTTCCCACCAATCAACGTGATCACAACCCGCCTGCTTAATTGGATAATTTAAATAAAATATCATTTTTTGAACATCTCACTCAATCTTCTTCGCTCCTTCTTATTATTATTATTATTATTATTATTATTATAATTATAGGTGAATTGACCTGTCAATCTGCTATAAAATGAGATGAGTTGAAATTTTTAATTTACTTTCAAAATTGCAGTGAGAGGGATTACCCACATTGTCATCCATTCCAAACACAAAAAAAATGAAAAACACTTTTATGTTAAAAAAAAGGCTTTTGGAAGGAAAAAACATCCAAACATGCCCTTAAGAGTATTATTAATTACTGTTGGATAATTGTTAGACAAATATTAATGCAGAGTTCAATAATCAATCTTCTTCGCTCCTTCTTCTTATTATTATTATTATTATTATTATTATTATTATTATTATAGGTGAATTGACCTGTCAATCTGCTATAAAATGAGATGAGTTGAAATTTTTAATTTACTTTCAAAATTGCAGTGAGAGGGATTACCCACATTGTCATCCATTCCAAACACAAAAAAAATGAAAAACACTTTTATGTTAAAAAAAAGGCTTTTGGAAGGGAAAAACATCCAAACATGCCCTTATAAGAGTATTATTAATTACTGTTGGATAATTGTTAGACAAATATTAATGCAGAGTTCAATAATCAATGATGCAGGATTTTCACATAGAAAATGTACCCCAGAAAAATTCCTTTGAGTACCCATTATTAAACTGAAGTATTTCTCACACATAATTAAAATTGTTGCAGAGTTTGTGATACCCGCAGGGTGGAAAGTTCTTCCTGTCTTATCTGCTGGACATTTGGATCACACTCTTTTTGAAAACCCTTTGGAGTTCAATCCCTTCCGGTGGAAAGTATGTTGCAGTATATGCTCAATAAGAAAAAATAGTCATCAATGCTTTAAAAATTCATTTGACAAACTCTTAATTACATATTGAGTAAAAGTTTTTCATATCATTGTTTTTGCATACGTATGAATGAACACACAAGTAACACCTGGTTCATTTGTCACCCCTACAATAGTGAACATCTAATTTATTTTTGTCTCTATTAGCAGGACAATTCGACAAGCAAAAAAGTGGCACCGTTTGGTGGTGGTCCACGACTCTGTCCAGCGGCTGATCTAGCTAAAGTGGAGATAGCTTTCTTCCTTCATCATCTTGTCCTTAATTATAGGTACTTAACTCATTACATTAGCTAAACTAGGCAAAACTTCCCACTGAAATAATAACATGCACTGGTTATGGTTATCAACATGGATAGATACATTAATAAATTAACTTCTTGCACCCCAATTGGGAATCCATATGATTGGCTTAATACTTAATAATATATAGAAAATTGCTAGTTGTACTTTGATTGAGTGTTAAATATATTTTTACACCATCATCAGTATAATATCGATAACTAAAAGTAATATGTAAATGTCACACAATAATGCTTGTACACCAAGGTACAATATGTTAAATTACATAGTATTTGATACAGAGGGAGGAAGTGTCAAGAGAAAAATAAATATAATAATATTCTATATTCACATAATGTCATCTCTTATTAAAGATAAAAACTTTAATCCTTATTTTTATTGAATAGGGAATTTTAAACTAAAGAAATAAATCATAAAATATACGGAAACAAAAAAAGTTTATACTAAAATATCTTCTAGAAGAAGAAGACTCTAACAATTTTTTTTAGCTTAATTAATTCCTGTGAGTATAATATCTTATAATTTGATCCTAATTATTCTAAATAAGGGATTCTACAATAAAGATAAAAGTAATAAAAAATACGGAAATAGAGAAATTAATCCTATAATAAGTTTAAGATTTCTCTAATAATTTTTTTAGCTCAATTAAATCCTGCAATTATAATATCTTATTATTAGATCCTAATTATAATACGGAAATAGATAAACTAATCCTAAAATAACTTCTAAAATTCTCTAACAATTTTTTAGCTTAATTAAAGCCTTCAATTATAAATCTTATAATTAGATCCTAATTTATAATTTAGCTCCACATCATATCCATGATAAGCATTTTGGTAAAAGTGCACCACTAGGGATAGCCTAGTGGTGTTGGGTGTGTTTAGGGTGTATTAGGTGTACGGTTCGATTTCCTGTAATGTCCAAAAAGCATTTTGGTAAAAGTTATTTGATATTGATATTGATATTGATATTGCAATAGGTGGAAAATCAAGGCAGATGATCACCCACTTGCTTTCCCTTACGTGGAGTTCACCGAAGGCCTGCTATTGGATCTTGAACCCACGGACACTACTTTTGGGTACCAGCACCCTTGATTGCGGCTTGGGCGTTATGCGCTGAAAATTGCTGAATCAAAATGTTACAAAGAAAATAAAATTGTTATTTAGTAATAAAATATCCATAGCATTTGCTCCTTATATATAGTTATAATAAGGGGATTGAAATTATTATGTAAGGGAATAGATATATTGACAAAGTAAAACGTTTACAAACGTTTACAAACAAATAATTACCGTTAGATTAATTATTTGATAGACGGTTCTGATTTAATTCCTCCATTTCACGTCACTACTGAACGTCTACCTCACTTTCCCGCTCTCTTACCCTCTCCGCTCAAGCCTCCATAGATTGTCGTCTGAGTCCACGTCACTCCATCGCGACCATCTGCCATTGCCGTCTCAGCCCTGTTTGTGACCCACCATCGTTGCGCCAGCCCTTGTGCTCTTTTACTGCCGCGGTGGTCGATCTTGCTGTCGGCGTTCCCACCTGCGCGTGTTGTTGTTGCCATCACAGGACCTGTGAGTGAGGCAATTTGATTGGAGTTTTTCATCTGTTAACGTGGGTGATTCGCCATTTATTTTCTGCTTTGTTTCTTTTTTTGGGTTTTATTATTGAAAAGTTTCGATTTTTCAACCTGTTTGGAATTTAATAGGAATTTTTTGAAATGGGTTGAAGTTATTATACTTATCTTTCATTTGTTTGGGTAAATTTTTAAATGGGTTATGGTATTGGGGCTGAATCTGGAAAATTAATTGGAATTTTCCCTTGAGTTTCGATTTTACATAGCCGATGATCATTTTGGTAATGATAATCTGGTATCAGCTTCGCAATTCACTATACTTTGACTCTATTAACCATAGTCCTTGACACTTGACAGTAAGACATCAAGTTGATGTCATGGGCGAGGATTTTACCTAGTAAGTATTTCACAGTTCACATAATTAGTTCCCATAAGGTTTTAAATTGCAGTTGGTTGTGACTATAGTAGGCCAATTATCAAATCACATTTTTTTAACTAGTTTTGAGAAGCTGACTGGTTTTATAAACCATAAAACCAGTCTGGAAATTGAAACGAACCAAAAGAACCAAATCGGTAAAGCGATTCAGAACTGATTTATCTACTTGAACTGGTTTCGTTCTGTCTTACTTTAAAGAAAAAAGAAAAAAATAAAAGTTTAGAGAAAGGAAGATATGAAATTCTGTGTAACTTGTTAAGTCATGAAGAATTTCATGTGGCTCCATATGTATAGTAGTATTGCATGAATAAGTTAAAATTTATTTAGTTGTTTGCTTTCTTTTTAAGTTTGTTTGACCTTTGAAATTTTATGCCATTGCAGCTCGGGCGTTGATGACCTTGAGAAGCATTTGGCGGCTCTTAGAAACCCATAATTTTTGTTTGAGATTATGTGATTCTCGATCTCAAGTTTTAAACTAGAATTTTTTCCTGAACTATGTTCTTGTAGGGATTTCATAAGTTTAGTGTGGGTATATGCATCGTTGAAATTATTATGTATCAATAATGATTTATGAAATTCTCTCGTGCTTGAACCTTATGCAAATGTTCTAAGCTGAGAAAGACAACTGACTTCTTGTAGTTGGGGATGAATGATAATATGATTAAACATAGTATTTGTCTAGATGTATCACTGTTTTTTGTGTCTTCTCTTTCCACCTAATGTTACTGCTACCAAGTACATAGAACATTGCACAAATCTGAAATGGAATTACTCAGGTCCTTTGGGACATTGGACTGTTATTAGATAAACTTAAATGTACGGTTTTTAGATTAATGGGTCTCTAGAAGTTTTATGTTTAGGAATTAATGTTGGTTAAGTGTTATGGGGGTTTGGTTTTGATATTTGTTAAATGGCTGTAAGTTTTCTACGGTTTATGTTTTATTGCGTTTAATAGCTTTTAATAGGTGTTTAAGTTATTTTTTAGCAAGCTACCATATAAGGAGATGTAATCGTCATAGAAAGTACAGAGCAAGAAAAGAGAGTTTGATAATAAAGAAAAACTTTCGTAGATTATTCGTTTGGTTGTCTCTTGCATCTGTGTGTTGATACCTTAACAAATTGGTATCAGAGCTATGGAAAGGGGGAGTGATATGGCACTACCTAAGTTGACGAAGGAGAACTACGAGAATTGGTGCATCCAGATGAAGGCTCTTCTCGGATCCCAGGACGCTTGGGAGAATGTTCAAGCAGGTTTTGTAGAACCACAGGACACTGGAGGCTATTCGGCGGCTCAAACTAAAACGTTGAAAGAGACGCGTGCAAAGGACAAGCTGGCGTTATTCATGCTCTTCCGAGCTGTGGACGAATCCGGGTTCGAGAAGATAGCAAATTGTGAGACCTCAAAGGCAGCCTGGGACACCTTGGCAAATGTCTATAGAGGAGCTGACCGGGTTAAACAAGTCCGGCTTCAAACCCTTCGTGCCGAGTTGGAGGGAATAAAGATGAAGGACACGGAAGGAGTATCCGGGTTCGTTGCCCGGGTTCAGGGAGTTGTGAACCAGTTGAAACGGAATGGAGAAGTTATACCTGACACCAGAGTGGTGGAGAAAATCCTGAGATCTTTGACAGACCAGTTCGAAAACGTGGTTTGTGCGATAGAGGAGTCCAAGGATCTGTCTACACTCACTATTGATGAGTTGGCGGGTTCTCTTGAAGCGCATGAACAAAGAAAGAAGAAGAAGGAGGAGACTCTTGAACAAGCGCTTCAGACCAAAGCAACAATTAAAGATGAGAAGGTTCTCTATTCTCAAAACTTTCGAGGTAGAGGACGTGGCCGCGGTGGACGAGGTACTAGCCGTGGTGGTAGGGGCCGAGGCCGAAGTCAAGAAGGTTGTAATGATGAGGTAGGACAATCAAGTCAACAGAACTGGCGTGGAAGAGGACGGGGTCGTCGAGGAGGTCGGTCACATTATTCAAACATTGAATGCTACAAGTGTGGCAAGTATGGTCACTATTCAAAAGATTGTAACTCGGACAAATGTTACAATTGTGGCAAGGTTGGACATTTTGCAAGAAAATGCAGAGAAGAGAAAAGGGTGGAGGAGACATCTAACCTAGCCACAGAAGGCGAGATGAAGGATGGTGTCTTGTTAATGACACACAGTGAAGGAAGGTCAGACGATGACATGGAGTGGTATCTTGACACGGGTGCGAGCAACCACATGTGCGGACATAAGCACTTATTCAAGGAGATGAGAAAGGTGGAAACCAGACATGTTTCATTCGGGGATGCCTCGAAGGTTGAGGTAAAAGGCCGAGGTACGATCTGTTTTTTACAAAAGGACGGGTTAATTGGCTCAATTCGAGATGTGTACTATGTACCCGACCTAAAAAGCAATATTTTAAGCATGGGTCAATTGATGGAGAAAGGTTACTCGGTTATTATGAAAGACCGGGTATTGTATTTGAAAGATGAGCGAGGTCGGGTGATAGTCCGAGTTCAAATGGGTAAGAATCGTATGTATAAACTGAATTTGAAATGTGTACAGGTTGAATGTTTACAAGCCGAGGTAGAAGATAAGGCGTCACTGTGGCATCTCCGGTTTGGTCACCTACATTATGGTGGTCTAACCGAGTTGGCAAAGAAAAAGATGGTGGACGGGTTACCTGACATAAACTTTGAAGGAAAATTTTGTGAGAGTTGTGTACTTGGCAAGCATGCCAGGACTACGTTTCAGAAGATGGCAAGGTTTCGGGCTAAGCAACCTCTGGAATTAATACATACCGACTTGTGTGGACCCATCAATCCGGGTTCTTTTAGCGGTAAGAAGTATTTTCTCTCTTTTATTGATGATTTCTCACGGAAAACTTGGGTCTATTTTCTGAAGGAGAAGTCCGAGGTGTTTGATGTGTTCAAAAAGTTCAAGGTGATGATTGAGAAGGCAACAGGAAGCTATATCAAATCGGTGCGTTCTGACCGAGGTGGGGAATATACCTCGACAGAATTTCTGACATTTTGTGAGGAACATGGGATAAGGAGGTTTCTAACAGCACCATACTCACCACAACAGAACGGTGTGGCTGAAAGGAAGAACCGAACTATTCTTGACATGGTTCGGTCAATGCTCAAAAACAAGAAGATGCCGAAGGAGTTTTGGGCGGAAGCTGTGCAGTGTGTTGTGTATGTGCAGAACCGATGTCCACATTCGAGTTTAGATGACAAAACACCACAAGAAGCTTGGAGCGGTCAAAAGCCATCAGTGGAACATCTTAGAGTATTTGGTAGTGTGGCCTATGCACACGTACCAGACCAGCTCAGAACTAAGCTCGAGGACAAAAGCAGGAAATATGTTTTTGTGGGATATGATGGAAAAACAAAGGGGTATAAGCTGTTTGACCCCGTCAACGAGAAGGTTGTAGTGAGCCGAGATGTAAGGTTTAATGAAGCAAATGAGTGGGACTGGAGCAATTCATCCGAGGTGAATTTTGAAGGCAGAATCTCAACACAAATTATCAACCCGGCAAGCCCTGAAGTTTCTGATGATGAAGACGAGGTACGACAACCCAGGATGCGGAGCATACAGGACATATATGAGTCAACAAGTGAGGTACATTTTGTTTGTCTTCTTGCAGACTCTGAAAACATAAGTTTTGAAGAAGCCATCCGAGATAAGAAATGGCAAGATGCCATGGATGAGGAGATAGAAGCCATTGACCGAAATAACACATGGGAGTTAGCCGAGCTACCAAACGGAAGTCGGCCCATTGGAGTGAAGTGGGTGTTCAAGAAGAAGATGAATGCTAAAGGGGAGATAGAACGAAATAAAGCTCGGCTAGTTGCAAAAGGTTGTAAGCAGAAGGCTGGAATTGACTATGACGAGGTGTTTGCCCCTGTTACAAGGATGGAGACAATTCGGCTACTCATCTCACAGGCTGCTCAATACAGGTGGCCAATACATCAAATGGATGTAAAGTCGGCATTTCTGAATGGTGTTCTTGAAGAAGAAGTCTATGTGGAACAACCGCCGGGCTACATGAAGGCAGGAGAAGAGAAGAAGGTGCTGAGATTGAAGAAAGCA